CCATCCTGGTTCCTATTTCTTCTCCTGGCTTCATTTTCTTGACCATTTCTTTGCCCTCGAGCTTCATCATCAGCCTGTCCACCCTGATATCTCCTTCCCTGATGGGGATTCCTCCCCATGCCACTGAACCTTTCTTCCCTTTGCCATCGAGGAACAGTGTTGTTGTTAGCTCTAGCATCTCTTCTGGGTAGGTCTGTTCTTCCTCTTAGAACATTAACTGGTGGGTTATTTGCCCAATTTCTGGTTCTTTGTGGTAGTTCTTCATCTATGTGGCCTAAACACAAAGGGAAATATTCAGTAAGCAAAAGGCCCTGGAACAGAAAGCAAGGAGCAAGGCACCCAACACAACTATAAAGAACAAGTTATTTTTTATAGCAATTTATTCAATTTGTTTTATTCCAATGGAATAAATGGTAGTTTTCTTATGGTGAGAGAAACTAACAAAATACAGAAGCCCAGTTAATATCATTTGTTCTGGCACTATGATGCTAAAAGTTTTCTATTGGATGTTCCCTATTGATTTCAAGCAGAGACTGATGACCACTTGTTGGGAATATTAGAGGGAATTCCTATTTAGTTACAGTTTAGACTAAAAGACACAGAGGTCACTCCAAAGTCTATTTCTAAGATTTAAGTCCTGCCAGCATCCTAAAATTCTTTAGCTATTTTATGGGCTATAATGATATCAAATGCAATAAACTGAAGAGAGAAATTTCTTGAATTTAGCCCAGAATCAATGAGAGAACTTTAAAAGGCAAGGTTTAATAAGCTTACATGTTTGAGTTAGTGGAATGCTGGTTTGCAAAGTTAAAAGAAATCAGGAAACTCCAGGAGTTGAGCTCATGAAAACAGTTTACTCATATAGTATAGGTCTAAAAATACTAATGCTGCAATACAGGACAATAAACAAGCACATGTGAAAGGCAATTTTGGCCTAATGGACTGAAACTAGAGTTGACATTCCTGAAATTGACTTTGACACCTAATCCTCTGTTCTGTTTCATCTTCTATGAAACAGAGATGAAAGCATCAATCTAATTTAAGAGTAACTTGAGGATTTAGTGAGAAATAAATGATTGTGCAAAGTACAAATAAATTTTGCAATTAAAGGTACAAAATTTCTAAAAGCATAAAATGTGACAATTAACCCTAACAACTTTACAATGCTGAATTATATGTCATAAAAATGTACAAACGTTTATTGAAGAAAGTTTCTGAAGATTATGAAAAGATATGTAACAGATTAATACACACTCGAAAGTGGTAAGTGCCTAAAAAATAAGAAGTGCTGGTATCAGGTAAGAATGCTTCCAATTGGGGGATCAGGGAAAGCTTGATGGATGAGGGAAATTGGAGTAGCCTTAAAAGAACACATAGTATCAACAGGCAAAGACATACAACCAAACTTTGAAGCTTTTACTATTTTTACTTTCACATTTCTTTTCAAACTTGTATCAGCAGAAACCATTCACCAAGAAAACTAATGGTATAACATTTTGAAATGATTTATAGTAGCCCAAAATTTCTTTGTGGCAATGTGGAAAAGTTTTATTTTTTCCTTATTGCCACAATATTCACAGTTTCTGCCTCTTGCTGGCCACCCCCCCTCCATCCACTGTTCTTCATTTATACCACACATGAAACTTCTGTGGCATACAACATACTTGGGTAAAGCAGAAGTTTATTTTTAGGAAATAATAAGGAAGTAAAAAGGGTCACTGTACTTCTCATAATAAAGCAACAGATTTATCTGGGAATAATTCTTTGTGTATGTGAACAGGACAATACAATACAATTACTTCAGCTCTTGATTCCTCCCTTAGAGTTTCTGTTTGAATGAAATGTAGCATGCTTTAACTCTCTTTGGGAAGGGGAGAAGGGTTGTCAATTTTCAGGGTCATTTGTGCTGTTCTTGTAGAACAAAGTACTCTTCACTGAAAGGGAATTATGTATAGTTCTGCTTTGACCTGGTCTTGGCACAGGTTTTCAATCTCTTAACCATAGTTTTCTCATTAAAAGTGGAAGAGCTTGCTTACCTCTATCGTTGACATCAGAATGCCTTGGTGGGGGGTCTGGGCTGTGTCTGCCATCCATTTCAGAAACTGTCTTCAGTTACCTGATGTTCAGCAGCCTTTTTGCTACAAAGACATCCGTTCAGGTTAGCTCTCAGTATTGCTTAAGCACCAACCAGCAAAGTCTTGACTCAACTAGTCCAATCCTGGGCTTCAATTTATTTTATAAGAATAAATCCAAAAGAAACTCAGTTGTAATTATGGGGAGTTATGTGTGCACATCAAATGCTAGGTAACTAAAACAGTATTTGATTTCTAATCTAAAGACAAACTGGTAGATTGGAAAAGACTACTACTGGACTTGGAGTCAGGAGATGACTCTAATACTTATTAGCTGTGTGACAATGGGCAAGGCACTTAATCTCTATTTCTTAATCTTAAATGGAGGTGATGCTTTGTACTTCTCACCTCATGGGGATATGATCAGTAAAGTGCTTTGTAAACGTTTAAGTGCTATATAAATAAGTGATAAATTGTTTGAGCAGATCGAATTTCCTTTACTCTTTCACTGTTAGCTGCAAAGATTCTCTTAAATTCTCATCTAAAATTTTTGCTACACATATAACCTTAACACCAAGTTATCATGTTTTATTCTTTCTCTTCACCTATAAAGGAATGTTGTTGCTTGCAGAGAAGAGTTATATATTCCTTTATCTGGCACCATGGATTCATCACACCATTTTACACCATGGATTCATCACACCACTTTACATTCACATTCTTCATATGTTAAAGTGCCATATGCAGTAAACAAATTTTTCTCAAAGGAAAAATGCCTTGTAAATATAATATGGGGCAGATGGTGGCTCAATGGATGGAATGCAGGACCTGGAGTTAGGAAAACCTGAGTTCGAATCCAGCCGCATACACTTGCTAGCCGTATGACCCCGGGCAAGTCCCTTAACCTGGTTCACCTCAGTTTCCTCATCTGTACAATGAGGTGGAGAAGGAAATGGCAAACACTCCAGTATCTTTGCCAAGAAAACCCTAAATGGGGTCATGACGAGTTGGACATGACTGAAATCAATTAAACGACAATGTTATATAGCAAATTAGTATTTCAGAAATCAAAAGTACTCAGCTCTTAGTCCTGAGATCTCCAACAAGGTACAGTTTTTTTTCTTGAGTTAGAATTTGCCGCATCTTTCATGACAGCCAATTTTGGAAGAGGAAGCTCTCTTGCCGTAGGTCTAGGTCTAACAGAGCCTGATTCTAAAGCAGATCTGACCATTTTACATCTCCTTACTCAATAAAGCAGTGATTTCCTGTTTACCTCTAGGACCAACTATAAAATCCTGTTTGGCTTTTGAAATCCTTCATAATGTGGCCCATTCCTACGTTTCCATTCTTTTTATACTTTACCCCGTCTTCCACTTACTTTACCAACTGGAGATAGTACTAGCCTCCACTGGTTTTTCATTGGCTCTTCCCTAGAATTGGATGGCAACCTCTGCCCCTCCAGCTCCTCAGTTCAAATCTCAGCTGCAAGAGGTTTTATCCTTTCATAGCGAGGACCCGCCCACAGGAATTATCTCCCATTTTCACTATAGATAACCTCTTTACATTTCCATAAAAATGTAAGCTCCTAGAGGAGCTTCGAATCCCCAGAGCCTAGCAGGGTCCAGGCAGCAGAAAGTGAGAGCTTAATAAGAAACCAGTTCATAACGGTAGTGGTGGGGGTGTGACTCACACAGGAAAACAGCTTCCTGAATCTATGCCTTTCCCTGATATGTAGTTTTAAATTTTCATGGTTGAAAACTGGCTATTTTAGTTTGAATTTAGTGATATGGAGGAGGGGCACTCATCACAAAGAAGTCCACTAGCCTGGGAATAACGTTTGGTGACTCCTTCCCAGCCCAGATCTCTTCTGCTCATCATCGCACCGGGCCTCATAATGCAGGCTTATAGCCTCAGCTTTTTTTTTTTTTTTTTTTGAGAGTAAAATTCTTCCTTCGTGATGTTTAAAAATAATAACACAGAAACACATTCTACCCGGATGGTTGAGGGAAACCAAGCCTGGACTATGACATGGGGGAAGAGGACGGGGAAACAGGGAAGAAGAATACAACAAAAAAAGGTGATGCTGAGGGAAGGGGGTGGGGGTGGGTTTAAAGGTTTAGATGTAAGGGGGGGAGGAAAGACAAGCTGGAGGAAGAATGAGGATTTACACTAATCCGCCGATGGACAAGGTGACAAGCGGCAGAGTTCTGGAAGAAAGACAGGTAGGTGGGAAGATGAGGTGTTGGAGGCGAGAATTGGGGGAGGGGCGGTACTAATCGCGGGGTCCTGGGGACCGGGTGGCGGAAACGTAGTTTGAATGTGGCTAGGGAGGGGGATGTCAGCTCCGGGGAGCAGCGCTGTGGGGGGGCTAGAGCTGAAATGGGGAGCCGAGCGAGGCAGGGGGCTGGGGAGGGGGGGGATTGGGGAAGATGGGGGAAAGCGGGACGGTAGCGATCGGCCGAGGGCAGGGATGCTGGGGGCCCCGGGAGGGATGCTGGGGAGCAGTGCGGGGACGGGGAGAACGGCTGACACTCACCGGGGCTCCAGGAGCTGCCTTGGCCACCGCCGCCTGCTCCGGGTCTGACTCCGGCTCGCGATCGGGCCCAGGTCGGTCCGGCCCCGCCCGGCCCCGGCTCTACTTTCAGTTTCCTTTCCCCAACAGCCGGGGCAAGGCGGGCGGAGCGAGGGAGGGCCGGAGGGAGGAGCTGGAGCCGGGCGAGGATCCGGGGCCCACGGCCTGGGCCCGCCTCCCTCCCCCCGAGGCGGAGGAAGCTCTTGGGGCCGGGCTCTGGCCCTGGGGGCTAAGCGATGGGCGGCCCGGGCAATATCCCCCTGGCTCCGAAGGCAGTGTTTGACCCAGCCCGGGAGAGTGCAGCCCCAGGTGGGGGAAGGCGGGAAGGAGGGAGGGAACACCCACGGGCCCAGGCCCCTGGTCGCTTCGGGGTTTGAAAACGAAAGGCAAGAGCAACATGGCGGAGACTCCACTCCGGCCCGGGCTTGGGAGAGGGTCAGGCCGGGGCGGGATCAGGCCTTAGCAACCGACATCAACCCTTAGCAACCGCTGCCCGACCTTTTATACCACCCTGTAGCTTCTTTAAGCCCGGAGACTACATTTCCCAGAGAGCCATGCGGGGCCAGGATGTGCGTAACGCGCAGGCGCCGGGACATTTTTCTGTTTATATAAGGGAGGTGCGCGGTTTGTCTTCCTCTTTCTGATCTCCGCTTCTTTAGTGTTTGCTTTGTGTCGTTCTTCATCCGGAGCCATCGTGGTCTTGGAATGCCTCTTGGTGGTGAGTTCGATCTTCTCCGTTCATGTCTCCTCCAGGGTTCTACACAGGTCTCAGGCGCTCCATGGGCTCGCCTCCCAAGTACCTTTGGCACAGCCTGCACTTTAACGCGCTTGGCTCCCCAAGCGTGCTCAGGCAGACCTGGGCCTCGCCGCCTCGTGCTTGCAACCCACAGGGCGGCATAAGTACAGGGTTAAGTTCTCCATTGGGGCTCAAAGAAAGGCGGGGGTGAGGCCACGGGCTTCTGGTGGTGGGGCGTAAAGAGCGAAGACTTAGGATGCCCGACATCTGGGCACATTTTGTCACCCTGAGTTGAGTTTTCCTTTCCTGAAGATTGAAGGGGTTGTATTCCTGTCCAAAGCTTTTCAGACCTTTTGGGTCACTTTCTCAATATCCTTCCTATTCACTGTTAAACAGGATGTCCCACGCTAGCCTGAAGCATCAGAAAAGGGCTGCGAGCATTGGCATTTTTCTTGATTTGAGGCCCAGAGGGTGAATTGTAGTTTAAAGTACAGGCTGGTGTAAATGATGACCCAAGACTTTTTTCCCCATCAGATCGACCGTGCTGATGTCTTTGAATTTTTGCCAGTTTAGTTCTGATGCACCAGCCCAGGAAAGTCAGGCCATAACTGACCCAGCCTTCGCAGAGTTGTGACCTTTTTTTGTTTTTGTTTCACAGAACTACTTCTGGAAGGAGGAGGGAGGCATATTATGGGGATTTTGGAGACCTGGGTGTTTAGGTACCATGACCCCATGCTGGCTTCTCTTCTGATTTCATCAGGTAAGCAAGAATTTGGGTTAAAGGTAACTAAGAGTCAGCTGTTATAAATCTGTAGATGTAACTGTTTTGAATTAAAGCCAGTGTTACTCTTTAAGTGTAAGGTTTGTTGTTCCTGAGTACAAATGATAGACGTGTGTCTTGGCTTGCCATGGGTGACCTTGGCCTTTCTAAATTAAGGTTTTTCCCTCTCCGTTTGTCTGAAGAAACACCCATTTAAAGATCAAGGGCTAGGTAGGAGTTGAGAAAAAAGATGGCCTAATTCACCATTGCAAAAATGTCACTCTGGGAGGGGAAGACCCTCAAAGTTTCTGACAAGAACAGAAAATAATTGATATTTACACTCATTCTGTGCCCTGGAAGCATAATCTTGGGCTGGGGGCTATTCCTGGCTAGAGTGATTTGGGTTTAAAGGTTTAGTCAAGTAGCTGCAATTGAAACACAGTGAGTTTTTTAAAGCCTGTTTTTTCAGAGCTATGTTTAAAATCATAAATAAAAACTGCACAAGATAAAAAGTAAGTTGTCAGTCAATAAACACTTAAAGGCTTACTTTGTGCCTGACACTGCTAGAGGTAGCTGCTGGGTCTGGAGTCAGGAAAACCTGAGTTTAAATCCAGCTTCAGACATTTTTGTTTTGTAACCCTGGGCAAGTCACATAACTTCTGTTTTCCTCATTTTCCTCACCTGTAAAATGAGTATAATAGGGTTGTTGGGATCAAATGAGACAGTTGTAAAGCACTTAGCACAGTTCCTGGTACAGAGGAAGCACCCTTATAAATGCTATTCTTTCTCCCATCCTCACCTTTACTAGGAATACAAAGAAAAGTAAAGGTAGCCTTTGGGCCTGAGGAGCTCAGTCTAACAGGGAAGACAACACATTCAAGGGAGCTATATAGGAAATAATCAACAGAAGGCAGGCTCTAGAATTAAGAGTTGTTGGGAAAGGCTAATTAGTAGAAAGTGGGATTTTACCTGGAACTTGAAGCCAGGGAAGCTTGGTAGAGATGAGGAATGAGAGAATGGGGATAAAATGAATGAAAAGCCTTTTCTAAACATGGTCATCACAGGTTATCAAAACATAGTAGTCACCTGTATTTCCTAGTCAGGAAAAAAGGACCTTGAGAGCTATGCTAACTGTCTTGAATCCATGTGAATGTTTGGGAAATTGTTTGCTTTTTTAAAGTTTGGTTTAATTAGGAGTTCCTAGGTGCTTTATCATAAAGCTTAAGAGATTTACCTAGAACTACACATTCACCTAATAACTGCATACCAGATTTCCCTAGTAGCAACACTCCCTAAATGTCTGCAGGTAGTTTTAGAGGCTGGTGGATGATCACTTTCTAGAGCTGTAGGTCCTGCTGCTGGTATATATGATGACTAAACTTTTTTCCCCATCAGATCGACTCTGTTGATTCTACTATTCTTTGCCAGTTTTTTCTGATATACCAGCAAAAAAAAAAATTGTTCCATGTCAGTTGAATGTCCAATATTGGACTAACTTTTGTACCTGGATTTGTGATTTCTCAGACTTGATACCCATTCCGGTGATTTGATTTGGATCAGATTATTGGATTTACCTAATAGTCCCTGGAAGGATAGATAGGTAAGTTACATCTACTTATCTATAATAGTTGTATATTGATGCTACTTCATATTCATTGGGTTGTCAGGAAGTGTGCCAAAGGTATAAGTGACTTAAAAATCACCCTGCTAAGATTTTTCCCAATATATCAGTCACCAAGCATGTAATAAGTATTTGCTATATGCTAAAGGTTTTAAGACTGGTGTGTATGATGATTAAACTTTTTTCCCCATCAGATCGACCATGTTGATCCTAACTGTTCTTTGCCAGTTTTTTCTGACACACCAGCTTCAACATAGTTTTTATCATTTAGTTTGTTGAATAGCATTCTCACTCTTTCTTTGGGACATATATTTTATAGGCTAGCTCTCAAAATGAGCCGAAGGTGTTAGGGTGCCAGTGATGACTGTCTAATACCATACAGACTAGAATGGTATTCAAAGTACTCAGCATTCCTTAAAGGTAGGTGAATTTCCTGAAACTCATGTTGTTGCTACAGGTGACACTTTTTGTTGTTTGGAACATATAAAGGGTAGTGTAGTGTTTAAGAGCTAAACTTGTAGGCTAAGGTATGACTATGTTTTCACATTTCAAAATTCCTTGTTTAGAAGAAAAATCTCCAGGTCTGTGGTACATGATGACTAAAACTTTTTTCCCCAACTGATCGACAGTGTTGATCAGGAACATTTAAGCCAAAACTTGTCTGATTTCCATCAGATCCTGGAGTTGGTTGTATGGATTCTGGCTAGCTAATCACTATTGAGCCCCCCCCAATATGTTTCATGTGTAAAGTGTGAGGAATTGATTGCCATAATACAAGAGCATGCTGAATGCTTTACATTAATAAAACAGCATAATAAAAGTGAGCAAATAACCAAAGAAAGATAAAATTGTGTTTGCATGATTAAGCACCTTTAACAAAGGATTGCTACTGTGTTTTTTTTCCCCATAGGAATTTAAAATTGGTGGATGACCAATTGAAATGAAGTAAGTGAAATTTGGAGACTTGAAAAATCTGAGGTGTGGCCTTAAATGAAGAAGACAGCCTTTGCTTATGAATATGAAACATTGAGTTGGCTGTTCCAGCTGTTATTAGAATAAAATAGTCTTGTTTTACATTTTGCAAATAAATAAAAAATTTGTTAACTTTGAAGTATGCTCTCCTGTTACTTTACTGTCTCCTTTCCACTGTCCCCATTTGGTTTCCATCCCCCACCTTGAGATCAAGATTACAAGTAATCTTAGTCCTTAGTCTTAGACTTTGGGGCCCTGCCAGTCCCTCATTTCCTGAATACATTGTCCTTTTAATTCTGGTTCTTCACTCTGCTCGTTTTTAACTTGGTCTTAGCAGTATGAGTGTTACCTAGGTTTCTGTGCTAGTGTCTCTTTATTTCTTGAACTTTATCTGCTAGATTGCCCAATGGCTCTCAAGCACCGAAGAGCTCATTTTCCTGTCCCTTGTCTAAACTTGGTCCATTCTTATAGTCATCTTTGACTTATCTTTTTTCACTTTGTCACCCATTCCATATGTTCAGTCTAGTTGCCAAGTCTTAATGCTATTCTCTCCCAATAACTGCTTTAACTGGGCTATTAAAATAACCAATTATTTCTTGGCCTGCTCAATTATTTCTAACCAAAATGGTTTCTGCTAGTGGTTCTTAGTCTTTGTATATGTTGAATCTCCACCTTTTCCCTTAGAATGTAATGTTTTGATTGGGGACTGTCTTTGTAATCCCAGGGTCTGGCACAGGGTTTACTTATAGTAGGCACTTTAATGTTTTAATTACAACATGGACAGCTAGGTGGTGCAGTGAATGGAGTGCTGGGCCTGGAGTCCGAAAGACTCATCTTCCCGAGTTCAAATTGGGCTCTAGTACGCTAGCTGTGTGACCCTGAACAAGTCAACCCTGTTGGTCTCAGTTTCCTCATCTGCAAAATGAGCTGGAAAAAGATGGCAAGTCATTCCAGTGTCTGCCAAGAAAACTCCAAATGGGGTTGTGAATAGTCAGACAACTGAAAATGACAATTCTAAGATGGTTCATTCCTTCTGTTGGAGGAAATGAGTACAGGAAAGTAAATTCTTTATTAGGGGTAAGGGTTAAGATAGGTCTTAAGGGTGAAACTTGAGCTGAAGCTTGAAAGTGATAAGTAGAGCAAGTAAATTGTGGGCATGGTAAAAGCTAAGTGTGAGAGATGGTGGAATGTGCTATGGAAGAAACATCTAGTAGACGGTATGGAAATACAATGTGTGAAGAACAGGACTTCATAGGATGAAAAGGCAGCTTGGAGTTAGATTGTGAGGGGCTTTCAATGCTAAACTTATTTTGTATTTTGTCTTAGAGACAGTAATATTGAGTAATGTGACAATTCTGTTGTAATTTGTAAGTTGTGTGGAGGATGAATTAAAGGCTGGCTGGAAGGAGACCAGTTAGGAAGTTGTACTCCAGGTGAGAGATGAGGGCTCTTGACTACTAGGGTGCTGGCTGTATGAATTGAAAGGAGACAGATTGGATGTAGAATCGATAAGATTGGCAACTGTTTGAATATGGGGGACCAGGAAAGGGAAGAATCAATGAAGATTTTGATAATGCAGATACTTAGGTGGCTGAAAAGCTATTAGTGCCCTTAGTAGAAAAAAGTTATGAATGGATGGGTATTAAAGAAATGTTTTGGGTATATTAATTTGGAGATTCCTATTTCTACTGGTTGGAAATATGAAGTAGTCAATGGGTGATAATAGGACTGAAGCTTAGAACTGGCTTAGATATAGACCTGGGAGTTACCTACATAGAAAAGATAGTTATACCAATGGGAACTGATGAGGTCACCAAGTGATAATTTAAAGAGAAGAGGGGTTAGAACAGACTTGAGGGGCATCTATAGTTAATTGTAATATGCATAAGTATCCAGCAAAGAAGACTGAGAAGAAGCAGTCAGATAGAACTTAGAGAAAACTGTCACAAAAACCCAGTAATGTCTGCAAATGGTGCCAGATTCAGAGAGATCAAGAAGGAAAAGGAGTAAGAAAAGGTAATTAGATTTGTCAATTGGGAGATCATTGGTAATTGGAGAAGGAACAATTTGGAATTATACCTACAAAATCACTGGACTGTGTATACACTTTGACCCAGTGATACCACTATTAGTTGCTGTCTACAGCAGTTGTTTCTGTTTTGGCCAGAAACTGAGAGTCTCCCTCCCAGACTGATTTTTGTTTTTGGGTAGATAAAAGAAGCCATTCTTTGCCTCATTTCCTACCTAGCCTTAATCACTGAATGGTCATTGCCTCAGTCAAACTGAGACCCAGGAAAGATCTTAGCTGAAAAAGGCCAAGGTCTCCCACTTCATTTGGGGCCATCTCCAGTCGTCCTGATCTATGTCTTGCCACTGGACCCAGATGGCTCCAGAGGAGAAAGTGAGAGGCTGCTGACTGTGCACAGCCCTCCTTCACTTAAATCTAGTTCACTTGCCTGTCATGGCATCACTTCCCTGAAGTCATAGTTCTCTTCCAGAATGAAGGACAAACAACAACAACCACTACTAGTCCTATACCTTGTGACTAAAGAAAAAACTTAGAGACAGAGTTTCTGGGTAATTAATAATCTATTACGTCAGTCAATAATAAATTGATGGTCAGTGGTTTCTCTTGGGAACCAAAGAAAAAAGACATGGAGAGCCTGAAAGCTTTAAATAATGAGATTTGGTCACCTCGAGCAATCTGGACAGGGGAATCCATCTACATCCAGACCACTCTAGTTGGTTTTCTCCTTCATGAGCTTGGTCACCCTAAATTCTAATGGAAGGGTACAAGGACAGGAGCTCATTTCCTTGGGGTAAGAGCAAGTACAGACTTGATTCAGTTTATACTCTAAAGAGAAGAGCATGTACCTTGAGGGCTAGGACAGTCTCATCAATCCATCATGTTCTTCAGAGACTGACTTTGTACAGGGGCTGGATCTTAAATGAGGAAATAAAGAAGAAAAGAATGGATTCCAAATTAATAATTAGTTAATATAATAGTAAAATAATAATTTCAACCTCATAGAGATCAAAGAAAGGAAAGAGATCCATATGTATGAAAACAGTTGTAGCAGTTCCTTTTGCTACCGCAAAAAACTGGGAACTAAGAGGTGCCCATCAATTGGCAAATGGCTAAACAAATTATAGTATATAAAGTAATGTACTATTATTGTATCGTAGGAAAAGATGAAAGATATGGCTTCCGAGAAACCTGGGAAAACTATGAACTAATGCAGAGTGAAGTGAATAGGACTAGAAGAGCCACTTTATACAATGATAGCATTGTAAAGAAAAAAGTTTTGAAAGATGAGAACTGATCAACGCAATGACAAACTGCAGTTCTAGAAGACTAATGACGAACCATATTATCCATCTCCTGGCAGAGAGATGATGGTTTTTAGATGCAAAATAATTTTGGACTTGGCTGGTTCAGAAATTTGTTTGACTATGTATATTTGTTAAAAAGGATTCCTCTTCCCCCAGCCCCATCCTGCCCCTGGTCCTGGGAAGAATGCAGGAAATGGGAGGTAGATAAATTAAATGCCTGTACCCCCATGCAACAATGCATGTGAGCAGCTGCTGTAGAGATTTTTTGGTTCTAACATTAACGTTTTTGGGATGACTTTGTAAAATAGGTGATAAAAGGAAATGAAAGATTGAATCAGAACATGGAGTGTTCAATCCGGAATGGACAAATTGAAAAAAAAATTTTTTTTTTGAAGGAGATGTTTCAATTGAATGGTGAAGCCAAAAGTCAGATTGTAGATGGTTTAGAAAAGACTGAGAGAAAGCATCTAGTGTAATTTAGTTCAGGGTTTAGCTGAGAAAAGGAGAGCTATTTGCAAGGAGAGTAGTGGGGGCAGTTTGCTAGAGAAGGGTTTTCCCTAAGCTGAAAACATTATGGTTCTCTTTCACTCGTCCCCTTTTTATCTCTTTTATCCAATTAATCACCAAACTCTGTCAGTTCTTCCTTTCTATTGTTTCTTGCATTCCTTTGCTATTTTTATTAGGACTTTCCCGGTTCAGATAAAGGAAATTTAGAAATCTAGCCATGGTGGTCTTAATCTTTCATTGTGACATAGACCTCTTTGGTGGTCTGATGAAGGCTATGGATCCCTTCTCCAAATAATGTTTTTAAATACATCAACTACATAGGCTCATGAAGGAAACCAATTATATTAAAATACAATTTTAAAAATATTTAAAAAAAAATTTCTGGACCCCGAGTTAAGAACCCCAATCTAGTCCAACTCCTTCGTTGCATAGATCAGGTCTGCACTACATATGGCCTGCAGGCTGCTTGTGGCCTGCTAAAGGCTTTTAGGTGGCTTGTGAAAAATGTAGAGGATGTAAAAGAAAGTAAAAATGTGATGAGTGCTTTGTCCATGCCCTGCTTAACCCTCCTTCCACTACTCACTATTGTGCCCATCATGTAACTTGGTGGGTGGGTTGCCACTGTGCACTGTCTGTCGTGTGACCCACGGCAATCAACCATCTTCAGTTTGTCTCTAGTTTGAGAGGAGCAAGAGTCAGATCTTTTCCCTGTGTTTTCGTTGCGACTGGTGTTGAACAGGGGACAGAGTGAGTGCAGTCAAGTGCCAACAGAGCTGACGCCTGCTATGTTATGAGTGGCAACAACTCGAAGGCTTCTTCCCTTTCCTCGATGCTCAGCTGCCCTCCAAGTTACATGAATGTCTCTCGATCTCTCCAAGGTCATACACTCAGTCCAGGATTTCTTTGTATGTGAGCAGTTGCTGTAGAGATTTTTTGGTTCTAATATTAATATTTTTGGGATGACTTTGTAAAATGGGTGATAAAAGGAAACGGAAGATTGAATCAGAACATGGAGTGTTCAATCTGGAGTGGACAAATAGATACTTGTTTACTTAGACAAAAGACAAAATAGTGCACCTTGTTTGCTGAGATGTAATAGCTGTTTGGAAGGAACACAATCTTTATAGCCATTTTGAATAAAAATATCCTGACTTAAGCAAATTGGACACCAATGAAAAACAAATTAAAGTGTCCAAATTGTTGAAAAATCTCACTGGGCAACAATGGTTTTTCAAGAAAGTAAACTCAGAAAATGAGGCAGCTACTAAAGTTAGTTTTCAGATTTCTAAAGAAATTGCT